CAGTTCAACTCCTAGGACTGCGCCCTGTGGTACGTGCGGAAATGTCTGAAAGTCAGGCAAGATAAGCATGGTGGTGAAAATGCTGTGTACTGAAGATACTTTTTCAAGTTTCTTTATTGGAGACGTATCCGTGTAGGTGATGAGCTGCTTCTGCTTCCAGTTTTACCCATTTCTGGTCTCAGATTTATTTACGGACTAGGCTATTCCAGTTGGAAGGGACCTACAACAATCATCTGGTCCAACTCCTGACCCCTCCAGGGCTGCCCAAAATTTAAAGCGTGTTGTTAAGGGCATTGTCCAAATGTCTCTGACAGGTCTGGAGCATTGACCCCCCCCCCTCTTCAAAAAGCTTTTTCCAGGGTTTGACCACCCTCTTGGGGAAGAAATTCTTCCTAATGTCCAGCCTGAACCTCCCCTGGGGCAACTCTGAGCCATTCCCACGAGTCCTGTGCCTGGATCCCAGGATGAGAAGACAACACCGTACCCCCACCTGCCTCTTGGTCCAGACTTTCTAGAATTTGTGGTGTGGGATTGTGCCCCGCTGGCACTTTTGGGGTCTCCGGTGATGGACAGGCCCCCCGAGCTCCCTGCCTGAGCCTCGGAGCCTCTGCCTCTCCGCAGCAGGAGGGTGGAGGAGGAGATATTTCCAAACCTTCTCCAGAAAAAAGCAGTTCCGAGGAGGCCTTTTCCCTTCACTGCAGAGTTCAGAGCTGACCCCCCCCTCCATCCCATCACTGGGTGGTACCATCCCTGGCCCCACGTTCCTTAACAAATCGCAGGATATTAATTTCACGCATCCATCTGTGGCGCGCAGCTGGGCACCACGTGAAGAGTTCAAGGGCAAGCTCTTGAAAACCAGAAGACTCTGTGAAACTGGAAATGACAGCTCCTTCCAAAAACCAACTCCAACGCCAGCTCTCGTGGCCAGCACTGGAGGCATCCAGAGCCGTTCTGCCAAACAACTGTCACGTCTTCAGAGCGGCGTGTCCGGTGTGGGGAAACAGGTTTTGCTGGGTTAATAATTGCACTGCCTGCAGGCTTTCTGAAGCTGCATCTTTCTGTGGAACATGGAACCAGATTTTAATGAAATATCGTTAAAGCTGTTAACTACAGAGAATGAAGGGGGGGGCGGGGGGGGGAGGAAAAAAAAAAAATCAAAGGCGCAATCAAAGCATGCACTCTATTATCAATAACTGCGAGTGGCTTCATAAATGTTTTATGTTTGAAATGTTTTCAGTGCAGATCAGCAGAGAACCAGCTGTTTAAACGAGAAGTGAAATGTAATAACAAGAACATTTTAATCATTGCATCTCATTATAGAGCAGAATGAATCGCTAGGAAAAATGTGGAAAAAAAAAAATAAAAAAGAAGCTTTCATGATGGAGATGGCTACCCTGACACAGAGCTGGAGGCCTAACTCGGCGTTAACAGGCATATTTATTTAAAAAAAAAAAAAAATATTGAGTTGGGATAAGTGGTTTTGCTTGCATTATGAAGGCAGGGTGGTGGTGCATGCTCGGCGGCACGTGCCCTCTCCTGGGCAGGTTTAATGCAAAGGTTTAATCCTTTCTTCTACCTGAAAAGATTCACAGTATGAATGCCTTGAACGTCACGCTCTCGGGGCAGGAGTAGAGTGGCCATTAGGCAGGAGCCTGGTTTGGGCTACAGGCAGCAAAAGTCGAGACCCCTGGGAGCAGAAGGAGAGCGAAAAGAAGTAAGACCGTGATCCTTTCACCTCGTGTCTGGGCATTCAACTCCCAGGTGGTGTTTAGGGCTCTGCTTTCTTGTCTCAAGGCTGCCGTGCAGAATTGTGCATCACCACACCTTAGAGCCCAAGGCTGGAGCCCGGTAGGACCCCTGGGAAAAAAAAAAAAAAAAAAAAAAACGGTCTTGGGTTAACTAACTCGTTACGTGCCAGAGCTGTGCTCAAGTTCAGGCACTCCTCCTCCTGGTCTCCAGTGGGGCTTCGCTACGAGCCAGGTTCCTACTGGTATAGGCAGGGTGGCTTGAGGTGCGGAAGGCAGAGCTTCAGGAACTTACGAAAACGTCAGATTTGAGAGAGAGATTTCGCATGTTTCGGCAGTTGCCAAGCAATTTCTGATGTAGGTGCCTGCATTCCTATTTTAGGCGCTTGTATCTTCCTTGTATCTTATTAACTATTATTATCAGAAGTTTAACCGAACGGTAGCAAAGAGGAAAACTCTGTGCAAGAACAGTGAAGGCTCGTGAGAGTAGAAACTGTGTAACTGCACGTTTTGAAAAAAAAAAAAAAAAA